GCAGCAGCGAGGGCCGCCACGCTCCTCGCGTCAGCCGCTCGCCGAGAGCCTCGATTTAACGGAGGGAGCAACTCAAACCGTGGAGACGGTTCGTCATTTTGATGCCGGACGCTTCTGCGCCGATCGGTCGCAAGTTCGCCCGCGTCGCGTTGTCAGGTGGTGAGCAGAAAATACGGAGACACTCGCAGACGATCTACGCTACACACCACGTGACCCCCCGACGGAGCAGTTGGAAGCACTCCGTAGTCTGGGCACACTAGCCGCTCGCTGCTTCTCCCGAATCGTGCGAAGGCGAAGCCGACCCCGCCTTGACCTCTCTCCCCCATCGGAGAGGCGCCTCGAGACAGAGCTTCGCGCTGATTGTGGCCGCGGCGGCAGAAGGCGGCGAATCTTTAATTTGTACCGTGACGCCATTCCGCCGCGCCGTCATAATATTTCTTTTGGGGTTACGCTCTGCCGCGCGCCCATCTCGTGTCTCTCCGGAGGAGCTTCGGAAGACGACGAGACGAGGTTTTTTTTCGACCGGAGTCGGTCATGCTGCGGCCCCTGCACGTCATACGGAGCGTGCGAGTCAGCGGCCTTGTGTCTTCGGTACTGCGAGGCTTAGCGAGGCATATATACTCGTGATGTTCCCGTAGCATTGGCGACGAGAGGAGCGGAGGGCGCGTGTGGACTTTCAATCGGAGCTCAAGCACGCGGTCCAGTACCTTAGACTGCACAGCCGCAGAAAGTTACTTGTTCACGGGTACAGTCCATTGGCGACGTGCGCGGCCAAAAAGCATCGCTGTGGTCGACCTTCCGCGATTGGCCAAACGTTCACTATTAACTATGACAGGAACCGCAAGAGGGAGCCACCGAAACATCTGATCCACAACGGTACAGGGAGGTAGTGGTGTGACAGAACGGGGTAGAGTAGCACGAAGGAGTGACGGCTGCTTTTGGAGGAAGCAGTGTTCGGTGGAGGGAAGAGTCATACACCAAAACAACGATATTTTAAACAAGGGGTATTCATTCCCGCTAACGAACATCCTAAGGTACCGTCTGCGACAGTACGAAATAGCTGGCCCAGTTCAGTACTGGGCGAAATGGGTAAAATCCTGTAGGGGCTACCCTTGGCACGCAAAGTTATGAAACAGACTGCCATATTGCGACTATGGAAAATGTGGTGGTTGATTCCAACCTTATTTTTGACAGCTTGGCGTACCCATGTGGGTCCCCCGCGTGGCGTTTGTGCGGCAACGACCGGTACGCCGCTGGGCCAGCTTATATTGCCGCACTCTGAATACATCGATTTAATCGAGATGGATGCCTGCGATCAAAAGTTTATTTGAATCTGTCACAATTAATTTTCAAGACTTAGACTATTTTTAACAGTAACCTAAAGTGCCCGTATCGCGTGTTCGCCTTTTTGAAGGAAACAAAAGGAAATGCTGCATAAAACAAAAATTAAATAAATAAATAAATAAAACGGAACAGTTATTAAGTAATATGGCATACACTATTAGCTAACGGCAAAATAGCTAACGGCCAGAATTTCTGATTAAAAGCAAGCATTACACATGAATTGAACTAATAAATGTCCACGAGCAGTGAGCACGAAATTTAGATAATAAGATAAACAAGGGTTACCTTTCGAACTTGACACAATATATACTATACTTACATGTTAGATGATAAACGCGTCCTCTCCCTGTGAGATACATATCTGATATTTTCCACTGACCGATGACACGTGAGTTAAGGTATTTCAGTGCTGTATTCCTGGGCAACTGCCGATTAATCGATTACGCGCAAATTTAACTAAACGGGACGATTCAGTAGCTTTTAATAAGTCAACAAAATTTTAAGTTGATATCCGCAATAGATCAGAAAATCGAACGATATTCGATCTCCGGCACAGAGGAATTTGTTCCTACAGTTACAACCAGGGCCGTACCCAGAAAAAAAGTTCGGGGGGGGGGGGGGGGGGGGGGGAATTTTCGGGGACAACGGCGGCCATTTTGAAAGTGTCTATCGTCTTATTTTCGCCTATGAATCATGTGCATCGGTGGCATATAATGGAGAGTTACAGCAAACCGGAGAACCGGTCCCGGTTTGGTACCCGGTAGCCGACCGGTGCCACTGCGCGTGCGCAGAGGTGGAGATTAAAATCGGCTGGCTGCAAGTGCACCGACCAGGGCCGTACCCAGAAAAAAATTTCGGGGGGGGGGGGGGGGGGGGGGGGTCAGAACCCCCTAACCCCCCCCCCCCCCCCCCTGGTTACGGCCGTGGTTACAACAACCTTTGTAGCTAAATTACCCCTCCCCCCTTGGTTTTTCTTTCTTTTTTGTGCCAAATTAAAAGAGAGAAAAAACGAGGATGGGACGAAAGTAAAGAGTTTGCACATGTAACAGACACCAGACATGCAGCTCGGTTCGGCTGGTGCACAGAAAGCGGCACTGGTGCTTTTTGTGCACCGACCGGACGGCCAAATGAAAACACTTATATCGTTCATACGCGGCGTCCTATCCTCAAAACTGTCCACTGAAACTGGAGATACAACCACCGTTGCTTGTACCCCCGACCCAATGTATAGTAAACGCCGCACAACACGACGCCCGAAGGGGCGAGGTCCATACGCAAGCCGCCGACCGCCAATCGATCGTGACCCGCAGCGGCAACCGTCTGCGCGGCGCGACGCAAGCACCGCTCCAAGGCCCCGCCGACATTTCCGCCGTGTTGCAGCTCTCTGTGCCGCAAGACGACTGCAGCAGAGAGCCACGAATGCCCCAGGATGCCGCACGTATAGGATCCGCGACTGCACGCCGGGCTACAGTAGAAGCCTATTTTACATACCACAGAGGCCGGAGGCGCACGAAACAAAAGCGAAAAGGTATTCCTCAGCCCGGGAAGTGACAACCTGTTGATCGAGTTTCTCTCTGGCCAAGGACGTACGCGTCGAGAGATCGGTGCGCTTTTCGCCTTTCCTTCGACGGCAGATTGCGTGTGTGACGAATGAACCAATGGCACGCAATTAGCCGCTAATTGTCACGATATGGTTGTGTATTTTTATACGAGATTGGATCACGGTGATAGGTTGTGCCGCTAGCTGATAGGCCCTCGAATAATTCACTTTCAATTATCGAGAGCATGCTAAACACCCGAGGTGTCACAAAGTATTCGTTGCACCCAGCGAGCTATAACCACATTTTTCTGTTTCTCAATAAGCCTTCGTACGCGAAACCTAGTTCAACTATGGTGTCTTTACTCAATGGATTCCTTCGTTTTTGGCGCAGACGCCAGACAACATTCTCGACACGCGCTGTTTACCGCCCAGCTGTCTCGTAGTTTGCGGTGTTTCTACACCAGCCGCGTCGGAGCTTGTCTTGTTGCTACACGCGAACATAACGAGGTAATGACGCCTGTCTCGCTCGATTATCGCCTCTACCGTAAACTAATGCCCCATAATATGCGGAACTAACCACAGAAGGATATTCACCAGAGAAGACGAGCAGATTGAGAAATCAAAATAATCATCGATGATGAAAACCGAGTGACAAAAATCGCACAAGAGGAGGTTACGCACATTACGGCAGACAGACACGGGAGCCAAAAAGAAGCAAGAAGCGTGCGCGTACACGCGGAACGCCCGACAGCCGGAAGCAATTTGCGCAGCCTTGAGTGGATACCTATATCGCCCAGCGCGCGCGCGCTCAGCCGTTTGCCAAAGCGCGCGGGATCGGCAGGCGAAATCCGCGTCCATGCCAGCTACCGTTCGGCCCGCGCCATGGCAAAACACCATCGTGGGCGTTGCTCCAATCTCGATGATAGAGAAGCGTAGAAACGAGCTGTTGCTATCTCTAGGCTGAGTTTAGGAAGACGGCCAGGTTTCGGAGGCAGTCGAGGGTTTCAGCGCCAACGCGGTGAGATAAGCCGCGGCTGCCGTTTTTCTTCCTTCCTGTATGCAAACGCGCACACGCCGCGTGGGAGTACTCAAAGCTGACGTCGAGCGCGTTCGTTTTCCAAATTGCAGATAGCTATATAGATATAGGTATACGACGTCGTTTCTGTTTTATGGAAGGAACACAACTGACGTACGTCGACGTTACGGAAGCGTTTGGAATAGAGTCACAAAAGCCTTTGTTTGTTCTGGCTGCTTCGCGCGCCGACGTGTGTGAGTCAGGGCACCCTACAGGAAAACGGAGACTCCTGCTTGCACGCGCCGGGAATTCTGAAAATGTCGGGGCTGCGACCGGCGGCGATGCTTCACTGAGAATTTATACATCACACGATTTGGCGAATGTACATAAATGATCTATAGTTTCGACTCGTACAAAAAGCGAACCGTAAATAAGACAATTAGGCGATCCTTCAAATGCGTACTCGTACAAAAGAGATATTTGTATATGTAGTTAGATATAAGCAAAATAGTTGTTGGACGGACTGTTTTGGCCCTCGATTAATCATCTCGCGAACGTTCATGTACTAGTTTTAATTAAATTAAGGTAACAACTTAAACAATTTAGTTTTGTGAAAATAATTTGCTTATAAAATATAGATGAGAAGGATATGCTGCACCAGTAAAAAAAAATCTCACGTGTAACAATAGTAAAAAAAAAAAAAAAATGCAGGCGCATGGACAACGTTAACTGAACGTACAACAATACTGATTCAAACGCTTCATGAAGTAAGTGCAGAAAGAAAACGTGTCATCATTTCATGTAAACAACTTCCGCAATTAGCATAAACGCTTTCAATAACGCAGCCCAACCAAAGACAGTAAAGAAGCAATCTCTGTCACGTCCTTCGGGTTTGTACACTTCTTGCCACAGGTTTATAAAAAAAATAGGATATGTAGATCTAATACCAGACCCATTTTATAGAAGCTGTTGGCGGCGAACTGGGAGCGAACGCGCAGAACGGACGACCGAATGAATGGGCCGTCCGGCAAGCGGGCAGCCCCAAGGAGCGCGCGTGCAGTGCGGAGAAGCCCGCCGGCGCGGAGCGGGCGGCCGACTCACCCTTTCGTGCAGAGACCGGAGGTCGTTGGTGATGATCTGCGGTCGCGGCTGGGGGTCTTCGTCCGAGTCGCATCCTTCGAGTTCGGCGTCGATCTCCTGTTCGAACTGCACCAGCATGGGCGCGAGCATGCCCAGCCGCGCTCCCCGGCGCGCCACTTCCAGCAAACACAGGATGAAGCTACGCTCGTTCTTGCGCATCACCAGGTCCTCCGTCTCGAAGAGGAGGCACTCCTTGATGCTGAGCGCCCGGCAGAAGGCGATGAAGTTGGACACGTTGTCCCGCGCCAGGAAGGTTCCCCGCTGCACCTCGGCCCGGTACACCACGTCCCTGTCGGGCAGCGAGAGCGACGCGAGCCTCCCGTCCGACCGGGCTATCTCGAGCACTTTGTTGGCGTGTCGGCAGAGCAGCACCCCGTCGTCCAGGGAGTCGAGGAAACCTTCGGCCGTCAGCTTGAGCCCGTACAGCGTGTTGAGCCACTCGGCCAGGTCCTCCTTCATCGCCCACAGGTATTCCTCGCTGGACTTGAACGGCCGGAGCGGCCGAATCTCGAGCCGGACGGCCCCCAGCTCGTACGCCGTCGAGCACATGTTGGGCTTCTCAGTAAGGCACTGCGCGGGGACGAGGCGAAGGCGTTGCTCCACCACGGCGGTTTCCTTACATCGCCGCTCGTCCGTCAGGCCGTCCGACGCGTGTGGCAGCCGTTCGGCTTTTCACTCTCATCGCGCTCGAGCATCCCGACTGCGGCGGCCGGTCACATGGGGCGGGCCGGGCGCGGCGAGGAAAAGAAAAAAGCGCCGCTAGCGCCATCTCTGGGCGCCCCGCGTAGGCGCGCTCCGCTGCGACAGTCTGTCGCCCGGGGCAGGGTCGCGCGGCGGAGAGCGCGGCAGGTGCGAATCCGTCCGTCGCGAAAGCAAACAGGCGGCGGCAAGGGGTTCTTTCGTCGTGGTCGTCCGCTCTCGGGGGGCTCGTGTGGGCGCGTGAAATATTGAGGCCGAGGACGCGTTTTCGGGGAATGCCGGTCAAGTGTGCGTGCGTGAGTGTGTGCTCCGACTTTTGTCTTTGGTGTGGACGGACCGGCGCGTTTAAAAGGAAACGGCCGTGAAAGGTCGCGCGGCTTTATTTGACTCGCCATTAAAGAAAAAAGAAAAAAAACATCTTGCCCCGTTTGCGGGCCCCGTCGTTGGTGGGACGCCCACTTGTGCTCGAAGAGAGGTACACTCAAGGGCCGAAACGTGGCGGCGGAGGTGACGAGCGCGCGTCGTTCCTTTCCGCCGAACACCACGCTTTGAGTACTAGGCAATCTCAGCCGTATCAGCACCACGTCTCCTCGACTTGAACTAGACGCTCGGGCCGCAAACGAGACCGCCGTAAAACGCGATCTACAATGCTTCCTTCTCTCTCTCTGGATATCGCAGGCGAGGCCGAGCATTTATTGACTTGACCGCGGTCTCAAGTTGTGCGCGGCGCGGCACTCGAATTCCTCGTATCCCGGCCGTGCATCTGTCACAGGGGTGGAGCGGACCGACCGAACGACTGTTTCGTCATTTGTCTGAAGGGTCGCAATTACGCGTATAAGCGGCGGAGAGAACTCCGAAATTACAGGGCGTAGTCGCTGTCCCCACCTAACCTTTAGAGACTTCATAAATACCGGCGGTTTAGAAGGCGCGATAACTTGCACCGCGGACCAACGCTCCCTCATTCCAAACACAAGCGGCGTGACACGGAACATGTTTGTTGTTTCTTTCTTTTGCAGACGAGAGCAAGCGAGCAACGTTCGTGACCGTCGATGCATCATGCCAGTCGTTTCACGCGGGTCAACCGAGGCTCCCACGCGTACGTTATTTCTCGATTCGCCCCGTGGGGTCAGAACGTTTCGAGATTTCACACTTGACACTCAGATGCGCAGATACTATGCGTCCGCGCGCACGACGATGACGTTGTTCTCGAAGCCGCTTTGGCGTGCGAGGACAACCGCTTGTGAGTGACTCACACGCCTCCCGCGTTGTCGTATAGACTGCGTTTCCGAGGTTAACGCATATCGCAGTATTAAAAGGAAGAAAAGTTATCAAAGGGGAAGGAAAGCGTTTCATAAGGAGTTGAGCAGAAATTCGCTGTGAGGCCGCGCGTGCTTCGGAGCGGTTGGTTCTCTCCGTTTCTGGGTCGTTGTGGGTGAGGATCGATGCGGTGACTTCGTGCCTGGGTGGCGGTGACCCTGACGCGGATCACGCCGGTCGCGCCGGCGACGAAGTTTAAACGCACACGTGTGAAAAATTTGCGACGAGGACTGGAAAGTTTGTCTCGCGTTAACCCAACAAAGGAGTGACGGCGCTTGCGCTCGGCTCACTCAGTTTGTTGGTTTTTTTTTTCTCTCATTTTCACGAGCGGTTTTATGTCGCGAGGTGAAGATAGAAAATGGAATGCCCGCTGAAAGTGTGGGTAGCAAGCCGCAGCAGTCCAAGGTTTTCTTTTTTTTTTTTTAAATTAATGTCCATGCTCCGACGTGTCCTTTCGGTTTCCACCAACGTCAAATTTAAAAACGTTTCAACGCACGGCGGCGTCCCGTTGTGACACACTTTTAAGTTTCATTTTGAGGGTCGCAATACGTGGAGGTTTCATCTTAAACAATCCAAAGAAAGTTTTGTTCTGGGCAAATCATCCCTTACACGTCAAGCAACATGACGAATACTCTACTCTTCAGTACCACCATGGCGTGGTGCCCGTTGACGAGCTCGACTGAAGATTTTAATCCCATTCCCTTTCTTTTCCTCTCAAAGCGTCACAAGGAACCTCAGCTTCCACCTCGATTCTTGACACAAGTTTTCGCGTTTTCTGCGAGTGTTCGCCTTTATTGGGTCCCTCGATAAAATTCACGCTTCTCGTCCCTACACGAATTGTTGCAAAAACGTGCGAGATATTGTCACGAGCGGGAACTGGCTCAGTCACTGATCTCTATGGCAATTGCTGGGTCGCGCCTCTTCGCTCCCCAAATGCGGCCACCGTCGGCCATCTTACGACGTTGGCTCTAGCGTTGTCAAGCCTAGATAGTTACCATGGTTACCATTTGTAGGTCAAGTGACAAATGAGGTAAAGGTCACGTGACAACGACCTTGACAGCGCTTCAGCGGGTGTCGTAAGATGTCCGACGGGTGGCCGCAATCGCGCAATAGGTTCGAAGCGGGGAAGCGCGATTCAGCAATTTTCATAGCGATCAGTGGGCTCAGTCAACATTGGGCTCAATTCACTGCAGCTCCGCCATTGTTCTCTAGTGGCTTCACCAGGCACTCGCTTCGTTGTGCATTGGAGCTCTTCTCAGTACTTGCTTATAAGCCCCCTTCTAACTCATCAACAGAAATCTTTCTCGTTAAAATCAATAAAGTTCAAATAAATAAATAAAATACTTTGCGTTGTGAACGAAGAAGTCCATGCAATTCCAAACCACGTATTACGAGTACACTACATTTTATCTCATTACGATAACACAGCTAGCGTCTCTGCGACACAGGTTAACCTAAATTTGATTATACCTACATCGTAGACTCTGCCACTGTCACCCCAACGTCTCCGTACTCCCGGTCGTACGGCAATCCGAACACAATTCACTGCTAATCAAGAGATTTTCAAAAGTTAATTCGTTTTATATTTGGTCATTTGTTATAAAAAATTGTATCTTTCCCAAGTGCGCTTGTGTACGTACCTGAGTGTGCGTATTAATTTTTATTGACTCCAGTTTAAAGAAGGGGACAGGGAAAAAAGCTACATTGCGTAGCTAAATAGGTCCCTGCCTTCCTTACGGACTTGGGCAAATTAATCGGCACCTGCAAAAAAAAAAAAAAAAGCAGACAGAGCGTGATACAGCTTTTGATATTAGGAACAGAACAGAACTTCTAAAATATTTGTTGTTAAAATACAATTGTCCAATTTGGTCATTTAATGTGGTTAATGTGAATATTGTTTTTAATTAGTTCATTAATGGCAGGTGGTACAGTATACTGGAGCATTTGAAATTCGTAATTGGTCCTGGGATGCGGCACTCTCCAGTGCTCTTTTCCAGCGAAGCTAAGTGAAAGAAATATTTTTATTATAATAAATAATATTTTAATATTACTCGATTAATGTCTGTGTATATAAGTCAAAAACACGCGTTACCTTAAAGTTTGAGAATAAAATATCGGCATGACTATTATATGGTATATTGGCTATAAACGTAAGATCTTTTTTGTGCGATGTATAATCTGTCAAGGTTTAAGTTTGTCGTATTGCCCCATACAAGCTGGCAGTACTTTAAATGTAAAGCAAACAATGAGTTATATAAAATAATCTGGACCCTTTCTGGTAAATAAAAACGATGTTTATAAATAATACCTGTTATTATTGATAATTTCGACACATGTTTCATGTGTTCGTTCCAACTCATGTATTGGTTAAATAACACCTCTAGTATTTTTACCGTTGGAACAACTTGTATGGTAGGTATATCTAAGTTAAAAGGTATACCTATTTGACACAGAGAACTTTCAGGGCGAAATAGAACGGACTTTCTTTTGTTGCTATTGATTTTTAACGAATTTATCATTGCCCACGAACTAGGCACACCGAGGAAACTATTCACTTCAGATAAATAATATTTATATCTGTTACTTGAAACAATACGCTCGTATCGTCCGCATACGTTATTATCTGGGCATTATGTGAGATATTTACGATGTCGTTAATATATAGGTTGAATAAAATAGGTCATAACACACTTCCTCGTGGTACACCTGCCAATAGTTGTTTTAGATCAGAGAAGCTCCTTCGCTGTTGCTTTCGTCGCACTGAATTCTCATTGCTTGTCTCCTGCTTATGTATAATACCGGTCACAGAGGGCACTTCAGAACAGGCAAATAAAACGAAATCAAATCCAGGTGCGAGGAAGCAGTTGCGAGAAGACGAAAATGATTCAAGTTGCCGAAGACGACTGAGTTCACACATCATTGCTTGCGCATATACGGCTTCAGTGCCCAAGCGCCGCACGAGCTTGACAAGTGCTTGTAAACACGAGATCAACCAAACGTGGAACAAGCTGCATGCCCGTGTATAATGTGTTAATAGCGTAATATCGAGGCAGCAGCGTGAGCAGTGCGTCCGTTGCTGCGATGACCCACGTTCACTTTCCGCTCTCCTCAGCAGCAGCCAGATCGGGCATTGCGCAGCAGCACGTCGTGCGAGAGGCCAACGGGGCGACGTGTATACGTAGACTACCCTACTCCGTTTCACCTTACAATGAACCGGAAGGTACGCTAAGAGTCATTTTTGGCCAATCCACCGCTCGTCGCTTAACACGTGACTTTAAGCTCCGCGCGTCGCTCCATTCAAGCGTCGTGACACCCTCCGAGCTATGAACTGGCATCCGACGGTTCGTATAGCGTCTGTTGCGCTCCGTCGGAGTTCGTGCACAAGCGCCCGAGAGGCACGCAGCGTGGGAGCACGGAGATTTCGGCGGCGATTGGCAACGCGAGGGTAACCGCGCACGTATGCCGATACGCGGGACCGTATATATATACGGCGATCACGCGAACGGGCGTGGGGCTTCGGCCCTTGCGAAACCGGCGGCGACTGCTGCCTCGTGTGGCGTTGTTGCGCTTCTCTTATCGGCTGGGCAGGGTCGGGGTTTTCGTGAGTCGCCTAGCGAAGTAAGACTCCAGTCGAGTGCTGCTCCTCACGTTGACACCCTCGTTGAGCCAGCCCTGCAGGCAAGCCGAGTGCGCGGAACAGGTC